TCACCCTTCTGATGGATCTCCAAACCATGCAGATGTATAAATATTCCTCAACGCTCCAGCTAATGTAAACATCTGCTGAGTGTTTCTTCAGGAAACTGGACAGAATTCCAAAAATTTTTTGTGAGTACGTATAGCGCATACCAGGCTTGAGGTTTTGTCAGAGAATCTGCCAGATCTGAGGGGTCACCATTTTCATGTGATACTGGTCTTAATATTGGGTGTTTTAGTGTTACTAACCAAGTCTACTACATGTCCTATTTTGTGACTGTTCTGCCGGATTAATTTGTTGTGGTAACCTCTAGTAACCCTGCCTCATTGTTTTCTGTCACAGATTGGCCATATCGAAGGGCAGCCGGAACGGAAGGGGGTGTTCCCCATGTCATTCGTGCACATTCTGTCAGACTGACAGTGGGACGGACAGCTCAGCCACCCAATCTCCGACTGGCCCCGCCCCTCAGTGTGTGCTCCATCAAATAGGATGCCACTAAGGGCCAGATGGCCACTCCTGTAAATAGCTGCTGTTACAGACATGGGCAGAGAAAACGCAAAACCGCCTGGCCAAAGGTGTGCGGTGTGTGTATGTATTGTAAATAAACTGCGTTAACCTGCCTTTACCAGTATTAACCTAGCCTTCCAACCCGGCATACCTTGCAAGGTTTGCGGTAGCCATTCTCCAGCACTTAGCATCTGCTATGGTATATAAGTATGTATACATACATGCACATGTATGTACATGTATGCATATGTGTGTTCATGCCTGTGCATAATGTATGTATACATACCTATCTTTCTGTACATGCTCCAGTGTGTATCCTATCAATGTATGCTGCCTGCTTAAGGCGCTTAAGGAGGTCAAATGGCCATATCTTAGCTTGTATATCACCAGTATCATTGCTTATATCCCTGAAATACCGGCAGAATCAAGGTAACTTCTTCAGACTTCAAAGCTCTCACTCTCGCCTGGAAGACTGAAGCGGCAGAGGAGGATGAGAAGAGACTTAACGCGAAGCTAATAAATGCATGTCTGAGGATGAGATGTATCCCCATTAAATGTATTGTTGAGTGCTGCTTGCTGAATGTTTGAAGAGAGCCGTTCTGTGGAAGCCTGGTGCCCGAAAATGTGATGCGGTCTGATGTGTATCTCGGTAACAATCAAGGATTCAGTTCTCCACCAGCTGATGGAGACACTGCCACAGGACAGAAGCAGCCGAGTCACACACCCCCCCCCCAACACCCACATGAAATATGGACATGTATGTAACTCCCCCCTCCTCCTTACCTCCCTATAACACACATAGCAACGGGCAGGTACCGATTTCTTCAGTTTGGTGTGTATTGTGGAGTGGGTTTGAGGGTGGGGGGGCCCCTCCTGACAGAGCGGATGAAGGCACGGGACCCTGACACCTCTTTCTCCTGCAGTCTGGACAGCCCTTGGACTCATGTACACTAGAAAAGTATTCCTGATGTCAGCATGTGGTCTCCTGAAGGTTATGGGCCTTATAAACCTTTGTGTGTTATAACAGACTGGAATTCCCCCCCACCCCTTAGTGATGTCACAAGTGTCTGATATACATTAACAGACAGTTCATACCCATGCTCTGTCTCCGTAGTCAATTTGGGGGCAAAGAATTCAGTGTATTAAAAGGTATTAACCATTGTTTGGACTGTTTCATGCTTGAACCCTCAGATTTATCCATGCAGTACTTGGTGTTATACTTCTGAGATTTTGTGATGATGCATTTGCAGCATTTATGGTCAGTTTAGTACCTGGCCCCTCAATCCTTTTAAAAAAGGAAGGAAAAAGGGTAGCAGGTAGATTTCATCCATGGATTGTAATTTTCCAAAATGCTGCAGTTATAAAATTGCTACCTTAGAGTTCATCAGTTCAACCCCGTCCTTCCGGTTTCAGAAGGCCTACAGGCAATGTTTGCAGCACTAGAATCTGACAACTAGTGTTCTTTACTATTAGTTGGTGCCTGAGGTAGTAAGTTCAGTATTACTAACTGCAGTTAGAGTATGATTTCTGGTCATGAGCAGGATAGAAGGTGACTAACACAGGTTAGACCACAGTCATTCCTGTGTCTATTATAAAATAAGCCAATCTAGTCCACTAATCTCCCCAAATCAGGTCTACATGCCAGACCTGTCACCCAGAAACTCAGTACCACCACTCTGCAACAGACCAGGGTTTTATTCTTCAACCAATGCCCTTCAGGACATTCACCATTTTAAACAAAAGCCAGAAACCATAGTGGGAGGAGTCAAAACAGAAAAAGTTCCTTTACGGAGCTGCACCACATTTCCAACAGTTCATTTTGAGAATTGCACTTTTGAGGAAGGCTTCCTTGGGGTCTGGTCAATTTTCTCCACCGCTTTGATGATGCCAACTGCCACAGTCTGCTTCAGATCCCTAGCAGCAAACCGACCTGAAGGGAGACAGGAGTCATCTTCAAGAGGCCCTCACCACATTGCAGAATGAGGTGTTTAAGGATCTCACCTAAAGGAGGGTAGCTGAAGAAGCTCTCAACACAGAGAGGCTTTATAGGAACGAGCTTCACAGTGGCAGCATCTCCAGACACCAGGCCTTGAGGACCCTCCTCCAGAATCTTCCCCGTCCGGCGGTCAAGCTTCTGCTGGAGCTCAGCAAAGCGACAGGTCACATGGGCAGTGTGACAGTCCAGCACTGGGGAGTAGCCAGCCTTTATGATGCCTGGGTGGTTGAGAATTATCACCTGCACAGAAGTTAAGGCAACAGAACAGTCAGGTGGCTTATTGAAGACCACATGCAAGCCAGTAATATAAAAAAAAAAAAAAAAAAAAAAGTTCTACATTGGGCAGTTCAGCTATGCAAAGTTACCTGGGCAATGAAGCTGGCGACATCCAGCGGAGGGTCATGCTGGGCATTCCCAGCCACATTCCCTCTCCGCAAGTTCTTAACAGCTACATTCTTGATGTTGAAGCCTATGTTGTGTCCAGGCAGGGCAGTCTGGAGTCCTTGGTGGTGCATCTCTATGGACTTCACCTCAGCAGTGAGCTTGGCTGGTGAGAATGTCAGGAGCATCCCAGGTTTCAGGACACCAGTCTCTACCTTCCCCACTGGGACTGTACCAACTCCTGCAGTTTTAGGGGAGAGTTTACATTTAAGCAGCAGGGTTCCAAGTGAAATGATTAGCAGACAGATCTCACTTACCTCCTATTTTGTAGACATCCTGAAGGGGCAGTCTGAGAGGCTTGTTGACAATTCGGATTGGAGGAAGTATAGCATCCAGGACTTCCAGAAGAGTTTTACCATTTGCGTTGCCCTCTTTTCGCTTGATTTTCCATCCTTTGAACCAAGGTAACTACCACGTGGAATGAACACGGCGTTTAAAACAAATGCCATCACACGCTCCTTAGAAGTCAAGCGGTAGTTACCTTCTGAGAGGATGCGAGCATGTTTTCACCATTCCAGCCAGAAACGGGCACGAACGGCACAGCTGCCGGGTCATATCCGATTTTCTTGATGAACACAGTCACGTTGCGAACCACCTCCTCGTAGCGCTTCTGGCTGTAGGGCGGGTCAGTCAGGTCCATCTTGTTGACGCAGACGATGATCTGCTTGACGCCCAGCGTGTAAGCAAGCAGGGCATGCTCCCTGGTCTGTCCGTTTCTGGAGATGCCGGCCTCAAACTCGCCCTTGGCCGCGGACACCACCAGAATAGCGGCGTCAGCCTGAAATGACGGACTGGTGGGTAGATCACCGCTGCCATCATATCGCCAAACATGGAGAACCCGGCCGGGCGGGGAGTTTGTACCTGGGATGTGCCGGTGATCATGTTCTTAATGAAGTCGCGATGTCCGGGAGCATCGATGATGGTGATGGAAAACTTCTGAGTCTCAAACTTCAGCAGCGAGATGTCGATAGTGATACCACGCTCTCTCTCGGCTTTCAGCTTGTCCAAAACCCATGCGAACTTGAAAGAGCTCTTGCCCATCTAAAAAAAAAGATAAAAAATTAAAGTTTATAGACGATAAACAAGCACAAATTTCGTGATTATGAAATAAACCCTGACCTGGGCTGCAGCTTTTTCAAACTTCTCAAGGGTCCTGGAGTCCACGCCGCCGCACTTATAGAGCAGATGGCCGGTGGTCGTAGACTTGCCACTATCTACGTGGCCGATAATAACAACATTGATATGGATGCGCTCCTTCGGCATGTTGAAGTCAGGGTTGTACTAAAGAAATCGCCTTTAACGAAACGTTTTATACCGTACAGAATCCTTTTTTTTCTGCACGAAAAGGGATCCACATGGCGATACTTTTATAGCTGCTGTAACGATTAATTTAATTACGCTCCCTCCGATTAGATTCACCTGCGCCGTTCGTCTCAGATCGTTAACTGTAGTGTAGAAGAAATGCCTTGATAAAACTCCTGAAAGTGCTTTTGCAATAAATTAGTACAAAATGAACAGTACTGCAGATAAATGGTCTCAGTTGTTTTATTACGGTTTTTACTATAACATTTTCGTGGTATTTATTGACTGTGGCTGTCTCAGTTATAATGAATTTAAAACGCAATTTATTTCAACTCGTGAGTGATAACTCGCAATTAAAACATGAATAACGACTTTATGATTTCCGTCTTTCACTGGGCAATAAGATGTAAAGGACTGCTTAAAAGAAAATGTGCTTTATTTCGTGCCCCTGTAGGCCTGTAGACTAATCCTGATACCTCATGAGGTCTTGGCCAATACGTTTTAACACATTTCTACACTCTAGCTTTCAGTTATACTAACAGTTTATCATGTCCCGTTCTATCAATACTCCTGACATCTCATATGTTTCTTCGCTATCTGTGTTCACGTGATGATTATATCTTCTCTTATAAGCCTTCCCCCGTTGTAATTTTTATTATACATTTTTTCCCTTCCTTTTCCTTTTGGTGATCTTGTGCAGCACTTTGGTCAACAAACGTTGTTTTTAAATGTGCTTTATAAATAAGTTTCAGTTGGACTTTAGCAGTCTGTTGAAGGTAGATCTTTAACTGCATGATCGTGGGTTGTGTTGAAGTTAGGTTGAGCCTTACCACATCCCTTTAACAGCGCGTTGAGATTAAGTAGATCCTTAACTGCTCCCTTTTCATAGTCTCCAAGTTGGGTAGGCTCTATTTTTAACCGATCTCTTTTAACGGTGTATTGAAGATAAGAATATCCTTAACGGAACCGCTTTAAAGGTGTATTGAAGTTTACAAGATATCCTTATCTGATTCGTTTTCACAGTAGGTTGAACTTGGGTAGATCTTTAATCGATCTGTTTTAGCAATATGTTAAATTTAGATAGATGTAAGTTGCGCAGACGCTCATTTACACGTTTCAGTTTGTCACTGATTGAGCAACCGATTTCTTAAGATCTTTCAGGTGTAAGATATCGGAAATATGCGGGAAATAAATCATAATGAAACTCTCGGGGAATTAATTGTGATGAAATTATTATTATTATTTTACAGTGTGACAGGTGTATATGTATTCAGGCTGCATTTCCCCTATACTTTAAATGACATAATATACATTCCGTGTAATTAAGAGACACTTGCGTTTGCCCGCATGCCCCTGTGGTAGCAGGTCTATTCCTTTTATAGCTGTTGCAGAGCACCATGCCTGAACCTGTGTGACCGACACAGTGACGTTCAGGGCGGCCAACCCGGAAACTGGCTGCCGATCGAGGGCTTATACTTGCGAGCCGCGATCTGCTATGCGAGCCGGCCGCCGGAGCGTCTTCGCCGGGACTCACGGTACCTCTTGGCTCCGTTCGCTCCGCATGTTAAGGTAAGCCGCACGGAAGCGTGTCTGCCGTCCACCCGCTCCGACCATTGTCGTTTCCTCTCCGGGTCGCTCCCTATTTTTAAATTTATTATACAGTACTTGTTTTTATGGCAACTACCATTGTCAAGCGGAATTATTTCCCATTTGAAGTTGATGGTGTCAGAGAATTCAGTGCGATTTACTGCTTCATATTGTAACATATGAGAACTTCGTTTCAAAAATTAATTTGAATATTTGCTAACTTTATTGTGCCCATAACAGCAGTAATTAGCCTATATCATTATAATAAACGGCACAAAATGTGAATGAACCCCGTTACATATAAATTATTGGTTTATTTTACCAAGATAATATTTTCATCGTAGGTGGAAAAGCACCGTTTTCAGTGAGCGCAGCTTCTGATCGTTGTTTTAATTACGCAAGCAAAGGGACTGGAATTGGGACCACCGGCAAATGTCACGATTGGATCACGTACAGTACGTGAATGAAATACATGACTGATCCATATTCTCACGAAATAGGAAGCTGTCTTTCCGTCAGACACATGAAACGCTGTCGTTTCGTTTCGCTTCTTGCACGTTATTTTAAACTGATGAACTGGTGATCTAACATCTACGCCCCCGCTTTCTGTGAATCGGGAGCCGGCACTTTACTGTCGGGTCCAGTGCAGAATTCGGCCGGGGAAGCCGGTTCCGATCTGCAAAAACGCCCGTGCATAAGGTGCGTAGGCTTACGGCGCTTCCTCTTTTCAAAACGTGCATTTCGTCCACGGACTGCATATGGTGCATTACATAGAGCCTTATTAGCACCATGGCTGAGCAGTTAGTGCTTGCCTAAATTATAAGGGGGCTTGGAGAATAAAAACACACAGCTTAGCTTCTTTTGGAAAACGCATTTTCCTGTGAGGCTGCAGTCTGTAGGTGTTTAGTTTAAAGTGCGCGGCCCGGGTCGCTCCACACCCCTGAAGTTGAAGTGCGCAGGGTGTCTGTGATGTGCAGTTAGGTGGCCAGTCCTGCCGTTTTGATACAAATGAATGAATAGGTCACACAAATCAGGGATGGAAATTGTATCTGATTTGCATTTAGCTAAAGGAGGCACGCTTGGGGGGTAGGGAGGAATGCATGTCTGTTTCTTGAGGACCACAGGTTTGGCGTCATGTGTGCAAGAGGGAAATTGTGCTAATGGTCAAACGTAAAAGGAAGTGCTTTTCAAAAAAAGTTGAACTATTTATTAAGCTGCACAGGCTGACGTGAGGAGGCCAGATACTTGTAATGCAACTTAATTTTATACACGTGGAGAAGTATGTTTTTTTTTTTTGTTTTGCGAAAAAAAAAGGGGATTAAGGAAAGGGCATGTTTTTAAAGCCTCTCTATTCTGACAAATGTGTGCCTCGGGGGTGGAGAACTTCTGGGGAGAGATGGTGAGTGCCGGGGATGGTGCAGAGACTGCATGGTCCCTGGCCCGTTAATGAACATGCGATGCGACGCGGTTGGTACACGCTCGCGGTCGCCAACTTCTGCATCCTCTGAAACCAAAACTCGCTTCGTGTTCCTCGTTTTTTTTTTCTCTGGCTGGCCTCGGACCCATGCTGCATAAGTTAGGACGAAGCCGTTGTGGTCGCGAGCCACCGGCGTCTGGTCGTGACCCCGTGGTGAAAGTGTCAGGGTGGAGGTTCTTCAGGCTGCAGACTGTCCGGCCCCAGAAGCCTGCCCCTTGCCTAGACGAGACATAATTTTTGGTGCTTTTCGGTGTGTCTGGAGGCTGACTTCCTGCTTCGAGCTCGTGCTGCACGCACACACACACACGCGTGTGCGCGCGCTGGTTGCGGTGACAGGAGCTGTCATGAAGAAGATGCTGTTGATAATGGTGTCCGTTTCCAAGTTCCCGATTGCCGCTTTTAAGACGTCTACTTTGGTCCCAGAGAAATAAAACTGCTTACATGAGTAATTCAATTCTTACAGCCACCTTTAATCAGCAGTAAAAATGAACTGTGAGATATTTCATTTAGGCTGTAATCCTGACGTGGATAGCAGGTGCCGCGCTCTGCTTTGAATGCGATATCTAATGAACATCTATAAATGGTGTGTAACGACGGCGGTGACCTTATTTTCTTATTACTGTACCGAAGCATAGCTGTTTAGTCCCGTACGCATTTACATTTGGGTTCTCATACAGCGTTTTTTTTCCTGTTCTGTTTTGAATAAGAGCAAACAGCAGGAAGTAGCTATGAAGCCTTATACAATTATTATGAGTATTTTATCTGTGAACAGAGCTTACATAAATCTCACAAGCAAGCAACAATATATAGTTTGTCATGTTGTTATGATTAAAAACAAAAACTAACAAATCCAAATTTCTAAAGCCACTCCTAAAACTTTATGTAAGATCATATTGCTCCATCTTCCAGTTGCTCATCCAGTGTGAGGTCACCTGGCAGCCTGGAGCCCTTCCCATGCAGTGTCGTACATAAAGCAGGGGACACCCTGGATGAGATCTTGGTCCATCACTGCACACAAACACTCTGGTCAATTTAGAGACACTAATTCACACAAATGCCCATTTTGGGCTGTAGGAGAAGACCTGTGTTAAATAGGGAGAACATGCAAAAACCGTGCATGCAGGGAAGAGGTGGGATTCAAACACATAAAGGGTGGAACAAACCATGTCATTATTACATCATTTCAAGCCTGAGAATATTTGAGCCTTACAACAAACATTTTAAAACATTCTACAAATAAAGCTCTCTGAATTCTTATAATGATTTAAAATGAGCCACTTCCCATACTTTGTATAATGCTGGGTTGCTCATTTTAAAGGGTCAATGCCCAGCATCTGATCTTGTGTTTCAGATTGTGTCTTTCCTGGTGTGAAACACATCCAGAGGTGGAGATTCCAGGTCCAGAGAGTACAAATCCAGACCAAGATTTTGTTTCAGCCAACCAGTTGAGTATTCTGTGACTGTGACTCTCTATACTTACTGTAACTGGCTGGTTGAAACAAAAGCTTGGTCTGGATTTGTACTCTCTGGTCCTGAAATCTCCACCTCTGAGTACATCACTGTCACCTGTATTAAATAAACAGTCATGGATGGATGGATGTGTGACACTGTCACCTCGCAGTTGGATTCTTATCTTCTTTGTCACAGTACAACATATATATATTTGTAACTTATCATTTAGCAGTATCGAGATTAGATTTGAGGGTAAATGCTAACAATAGCGCCCCCCGCAGTAAGTAGCAGCTGGGGTGTTAAGCTCCAACTTTGTCTCACCATGGTGATTTAGGTGGCTGCCGTTGGTGTGTAAAGGTGGTGTTGTGGTTTAGTGTCACATTGCACCTCAGGCTTGCACATTCATATGCTGCTTCTGTGTTGTGTGAGTCTCCTCCCTCGACCCATTGGTGTGTCAGAATCTCCCCTAATGTGTGATCATGCGTGTATGTTTATGCCCTGTATTTTACTGATGCCCCTAAACCTTGTGCCCCGTGGATCCTGGGATAGGCTGCAGGCTTACTGGGACCCAATACTGGATGAGTGGTTGGAAGACAGACAGACTGGTGTTGTGTAATGAGTACTAGACATAAGTTAGGGTCCCATTGGGAATATTATTGGAGCGTTTCTCAGCCCGGTCCTCGGGGACAGTCCGCATTTTTGCTCCCTCCCAGCTCTCAGCACACCTGAACCAAGCAATCAAGAACAAACCAAACCATCAGCACTGAACTAAACAATCATGAATATCGAATATTTGGAGTGCTGTCTGAGGACTGGGTTGAAAAACACTGTATTATCATGTTATACACCAAAAGTACTGAGTGTTATACACTGTAACTATGGTAACTGCTGGCACTGCTGTGAACTAGGACAGATTTGCTCAGAGGCTGAATGGAACAGACGTGTGTGGGAGAACCCTGATCTACACTGAGAAGAAAGGGTGATGGAGTCAGAAGATCCCGCCCGGTCTCTCAAGGGGGCTGTGCTAGTCCAGACGGACACACGCTAACGCGCAAATGCTGCTTCTGGTGGACGGACAGGAATCGGGAATTCAGTTCTGTGTTTCACATTGACGGCTTATCTGTGTCTTATACATACTTTTTTTCTCTTCAGAGGTTTGAGGAAATAATTTGTAAATAGTGCATGTTAGGTGTGGAGTGTGCATGTTCTCCTAGTGTCTGAGCGAGTTTCAGCTTCCTCCACTGGTCCCAACATGCTGGTCGGTGCATTTATGACACCAGAGGGTGTGCTGCGATAGACTGTCTTCCCGTCCAGGGTGTCACCAGTCTTACATCCTGTGACAGACTGGCATCCTCTCTGGAGTGTCCCCTGCCCTGTGACAGACTGGCATCCTGTTCAGGGTGTGTCCTGCCCGGTGCCCCTTGCATTCTGGAATAGCCATCAGGCTCACTGTGATTCTGTACTGGATGGATGGTGGATGTGAATTGGGTCAGTTATTCTAGGGTTAAATTAGGCAAAACTCACAGGACACACGCACCCAGGAAGATTAATTGTAGCATTTTGGACAATCCAATGATTATCTATTCAGAGAAAATTCAGGGTATGAATTTGGGTATGAGTGAGTGGAATCCAGCCTGGTTTAGCTTCTGTCGCGTTTGAGTTATACTGCATTTCCTTCACCTGACATATCAGCAACTTTTTTTCCCACCGGCGTTAAACTTGAGAAGTTTAGATTGACATTTTGTTAGAAAATGCTAGAATATCCCCCCATGATTTTAGCTTGCCAGGAGCAAACGTGACGTTACCCCAGAGGAATGCACCCATCAGCGTCGGTTGTGTAATACTTTTATATATAAGTATAGGGGTTTGAGTGGAAGGGCTAGTGGAAACTTCCAGAAAGTTCATTAGCCAGTCTTCCATAACTTTCCATGCCATTTCATTTTTCACTGTGGCCTCCCCAGTTAAAACAACAAGGTCAATAAGTGGGTTAAAGTATATACATCCATATTCTCTATACCATAAATGAGCAGCCAATTCCAGCAAAGCTAGATAA